ATGCGCCCTTCTTAAATACGGTTGGATGATTACCCATTTTAGGAAAGCCTCCAATATAAGAGAGAGGCCAAAACAAACCATGAGGAAAAAGGAACTTAAAAGAAACAGAGACAATTGACCAAATAAAACTAAACTAAAAAACAAACCAAGCGGCCAGGCAGGTGGCTCATGCCTGTAATCCCAGCACTGTGGGAGGCTGAGGTGGGCAGATCATGAGGTAAGGAGGTCAAGACCAGCCTGACCAACATGGCCTGACGAAGTGGTAAGTAGGTCTCTCCACTGAACAGGTATATCTCCTTGTAATCATTAAGTAATTGTAGGGTAATACTTTGAGACCATGTGGATATCTTGTTCCCCATAAACCTTTCACTCGGTGATTTTAGCATAAAATTAATGGCCCTTGCCAAAATCAGTTTTTACACTGGGGTTGTAAAATGACCATCTTCCTAATTCTCTCATTTCTTTGTACATATTAGTTGGCGTTTTTCTATAAGAGGAGTTTCGCCTTTCTTCTTCTCCCGATGCTCTTTAACTTTTTCAGTTTTCATGTCCCCCTACCAAAGCAAACCCTGACACAAGAAACCTGGGTGTGAGTAGGGCTTTGGGAGATGATACCAGAAAGCACAGAGTTAGCAGGGCAAGTGACACAGGGCAGGGAGAAAAGCCAATAAAGGGCATATTGACAAACATTTTTGCTGTGGGCAACTGGGTTTCAGTCTCAATGAGGCCACGCCGAGAAACCATGTGAAATGCTTCCAAATCTTCCCGATTCCATCACCCCTTGGTTGACTGCTAGGGATACCTAGCCTCCAGCTTTCAGACTATGTTGCTCAGCAGCCATGTGCTGTAGGCGTTTCTTTAGAAAGACTCCAGACAGAGAAGGAGAGAAAAACGGGCACTTGAGGTCAGGGTGCTGGGAACTGTTGACAACTGCGAGAGAATTCAAGAAGGCTGAGTGAGGGGACGTGGAGAGGGGCCTCACAACATCTGCTTCTTTCTCCTTTTGATGTTACTATGAATTCACAGAATCAAAAGTTTTAAAAAGCAGGGTGCCATCATCCTTTACCATCATTACGCTTTTTGAGCCTCATATTGACCTTTGACCCTGGCTCCTTTGTCTTTTCACTATGCTCCCCAGAGTCTTTAACACGTCCTTGTTTTCTGGCACAGCCAGACATTCCAGGCTCACCTTGTACTTTTCCTACCCCTGACCTGGACTCACCCATTCCTTTATTTATTTTTATTTTTATTTTATTTATTTATTTATTTATTTTTGAGACGGAGTTTCGCTCTTGTTACCCAGGCTGGAGTGCAATGGTGCGATCTCGGCTCACTGCAACCTCCGCCTCCTGGGTTCAGGCAATTCTCCTGCCTCAGCCTCCTGAGTTGCTGGGATTACAGGCACGCACCACCATGCACAGCTAATTTTTTGTATCTTTAGTAGAGACGGGGTTTCACCGTGTTGACCAGGATGGTCTCCATCTCTTGACCTCGTGATCCACCCGCCTTGGCCTCCCAAAGTGCTAGGATTACAGGCTTGAGCCACCGCGCCCGGCCTTCACCCATTCCTTTAAAGCGTTCTGGTTCTGCAGCTCTGTTTTCCACGGTGATGAGATGTCACCTCCCCTTATTATACCATCCCTTCTCACGAGATGAGGGTTTGTTTATGCTTCAAGCATTGGACAAAGAAAACTGAGGTGGCTTAATGTTGCTGTATTTCAGCAAATTAATGTTTTCATTATTTATCTGTGTCCTTTTTGGTGTGATTTTTTTTTTTTTTGGTACACATTTGGTACCATGTAGATATTTGGTACTGTCTTCTCCCAAAAGAATGTGTATATAGCTTTTTTTTTTTTTTTTGAGATGGAGTCTTACACTGTTGCCCAGGCTGGAGTGCAGTGGTGCAATCTCAGCTCACTGCAGCCTCCGCCTCCTGGGTTTAAGTGATTCTTCTGCCTCAGCCTCCTGAGTAGCTAATCTAGGCTGTTACTTTTGTTATACAGAATTAAATAAAATGCAGGATGTACTATTTTTAAAAGATAGTTCTGGTTCTTTAGAATGAAGAATGGTATTTATTACAGAAATTATTCTGGATTGTCTTTGCTTATAGGCCCGTTTGGTGGACAAAACGGGTTAATGCACTCAAAAACCAAAATGAAACAAAAAGTATGAATTAACACTGAAGCCTCCAGTTCAGTCCAACATCACAAGGCCTTCCCTAACTTCCGCCATTTGGGATTTGTGTTTTCCTTCTCCCACAAAACCCTGGCTCTCCAGTCCAACATCACAAGGCCTTCCCTAACTTCCGCCATTTGGAATTTGTGTTTTCCTTCTCCCACAAAACCCTGGCTCTCCAGTCCAACATCACAAGGCCTTCCCTAACTTCCGCCATTTGGGATTTGTGTTTTCCTTCTCCCACAAAACCCTGGCTCTCCAGTCCAACATCACAAGGCCTTCCCTAACTTCCGCCATTTGGGATTTGTGTTTTCCTTCTCCCACAAAACCCTGGCTCTCCAGTCCAACATCACAAGGCCTTCCCTAACTTCCGCCATTTGGGATTTGTGTTTTCCTTCTCCCACAAAACCCTGGCTCTCCAGTCCAACATCACAAGGCCTTCCCTAACTTCCGCCATTTGGGATTTGTGTTTTCCTTCTCCCACAAAACCCTGGCTCTCCAGTCCAACATCACAAGGCCTTCCCTAACTTCCGCCATTTGGGATTTGTGTTTTCCTTCTCCCACAAAACCCTGGCTCTCCAGTCCAACATCACAAGGCCTTCCCTAACTTCCGCCATTTGGGATTTGTGTTTTCCTTCTCCCACAAAACCCTGGCTCTCCAGTCCAACATCACAAGGCCTTCCCTAACTTCCGCCATTTGGGATTTGTGTTTTCCTTCTCCCACAAAACCCTGGCTCTCCAGTCCAACATCACAAGGCCTTCCCTAACTTCCGCCATTTGGGATTTGTGTTTTCCTTCTCCCACAAAACCCTGGCTCTCCAGTCCAACATCACAAGGCCTTCCCTAACTTCCGCCATTTGGGATTTGTGTTTTCCTTCTCCCACAAAACCCTGGCTCTCCAGTCCAACATCACAAGGCCTTCCCTAACTTCCGCCATTTGGGATTTGTGTTTTCCTTCTCCCACAAAACCCTGGCTCTCCAGTCCAACATCACAAGGCCTTCCCTAACTTCCGCCATTTGGAATTTGTGTTTTCCTTCTCCCACAAAACCCTGGCTCTCAGTGTCAGTCATTTCTTCTCCAATGTATCACATACAAAAGCGTTTCAGAGTTACAACACCAAAATCATTACCAGCAACAAATCTAAGTAACATTTTAAGATTTCATCATCGCTCTTTTTGTCTTCAAATTGTATTCCCCTAAATGTGTACAGTGAAAACCTGTGCTCAAAGTTATTGAATTAATTCTTTTTCTCTCTGAGGTTATATTATCTAATATACAGCTAAGTTTATTTATTTATTTATTTTGAGGCATAATCTCTCTCTGTTGCCCAGGATTGAGTGCAATGGCTCAATCTTGACTCACTGCAACATCTGCCTCCCGGGTTCAAGCGATTCTCCTGTCTCAGCCTCCTAAGTAGCTGGGATTACAGGTGCATGCCATCATGCCTGGCTAATTTTTGTATTTTTGTAGAGATGAAGTTTCACCGTGTTGGCCAGGCTGGGCTGGTCTTGGACTCCTGACTTCAGGTGATCCGCCCCGCTTGGCCTCCCAAAGTGCTGGGATTACAGGCGTGAACCACTACACTCAGCTTGTTTTTTTAAATTCAAATTTGGGGTATGCTTTTTCAAAATTCACACAATGAAGTATTATGTGTCCATAAAAAACAACAAGGAATATTTCTAAGTACTGATGAGGAGTGAAAAATCTAAGTTGCAAAATGGAACACATGGTATGCTTCCTTTTTCATAAGAAAGGGGAAATATAAATATGCACACTTTTTTATTCCCCCTAAAAATTCTCAACACAAGCACACAGCAAGGATAAACCAGAAACTAATGAAAAAGGTTATTACAGGAATTGGTGGGAATAAAGTTGAGGAGTTAAAGACGGGACCAAAACATCTCTAAATATACCCTTGTATATTGTTTTGATTTCTGAATCATGTAAATTTTATTTTATTTTTTTGAGATGGAGTCTTGCTGTGTCGCCCAGGCTGGAGTGTAGTGGCGCAGTCTTGGTTCACTGCAACCTCTGCCTCAGAGGTTCAAGCGATTCTCCTGCCTCAGCCTCCCGAGTAGCTGGGATTACAGGCACATGCCACCATGCCTGGCTAATTTTTGTATTTTTAGTAGAGATGAGGTTTCTCCATGTTGGCCAGGCTGGGCTCAAACTGCTGGCTTCAGGTGATCCACCAGCTTCGGCTTCCCAAAGTGCTGGAATTACAGGCATGAGCCACAGCAGCTGGCCATAAATGTTTTATATATTAAAAAAAAAATTATAGGCTGAACATTGTGGCTCATCCCCATAATCCCAGCACTTTGGGAGGCCAAGGCAGGAGGATAGGTTGAGCCCAGGAGTTTGAGACCAGCCTGGGCAATGTAGCAAGACTCTATCTCTCCAAAATGTTTAAAATTAGCCAGGCTTGGTGGCTCATGCCTGTAGTTCTAGCGACTTGAGAAGCTGAGATGGGAGGATTGCTTGAGCCTAAGAGGGCAAGGTTGCAGTAAGCCATGATTGCACCACTGTGCTCCAGCCTGGTTGACAGTGAGACCTTGTCTTAAAAAAAATTACAAATAATAAAAATGGCATTGAGTCATATCTACTGACTTGGGAAGATATTTATATTAAGTGAAAAAAGGATAAACATTATGATCCAATTTAAAATATATGTATTTAAAGTAATTATATATATATATATATATGTGAAAAGTACATACCAAAATGTTAATAGTGGTAATCTTTGGCTGACAGAATCACCTTATTTTAATTTTTATTATTTTTATTTTTCTGCGTGCAATCAGTTCTATGAAAAACATATTTTATATGTAACCAGTTTCTTCCTCTTCTTCTTTTTCTTCTTCTTCTTTTTCATCTTCTTCTTCTTCTTTGTTTTCTTCTTTTTGTTGAGACAGAGTTTCACTCTTGTTGCCCAAGCTGGAGTGCAGTGGCACGATCTTGGTTCACTGCAACATCCACCTCTGGGGTTCAAGCGATTCTCCTGCCTCAGCCTCCCTAATAGCTGAGATTACAGGTGCCCAACACCACGCCCAGCTAATTTTTTGTATTTTTAGTGGAGACGGGGTTTCATTATGTTGGCCAAGCTAGTCTTGAACTCCTGACCTCAGGTGATCCACTTGCCTCTGCCTCCCAAAGCGCTGGGATTACAGGCGTGAGCCATCATGTCCAGGAACCAGTTTCTCTATAACAAACATATTACATTTATTTATTTTTTTCCAAGACAGAGTCTTGCTCTGTCACCCAAGCTGGAGTCCAGTGGCACGATCTCGGCTCACTTTAATCTCTGCCTCCCAGGTTCAAGCAATTCTTCCTGCCTCAGCCTCCTGAGTTGCTGGGATTATAGGCATGCACCACCACACCTGGTTAATTTTGTATTTTTAATAGAGACAAGGTTTCACCATGTTAGCCAGGCCATTCTTGAACTCTGGACCTCAGGTGATCTGCCTGGCTTGGCCTCCCAAAGTTCTGGGATTACAGGTGTGAGCCACTATGTCTGGCCTACCTATTACACTTATAATCACAATTTTGTATGGCATTGTGTGAGGCAGAATAGTGGTTCTCTCAAAAAATATTCATGGATAAATCCCTGAAACCCATTCTATTGGCAATGGGAAATTAAGGTTGCAGATAGAATTAAGGAACTGATTAGCTGAACTTAAAATAGGGAGATTCTCTTGGATTATCTGATGGACCCAATGTATTCACAATAATCCGCTAAATATGGTAGAAGGAGGTAAAAGATAAGAGTCAGAGAGATTCAGTTACTCTATTGCTGGCTTTGAAAATGGTGGAAGGGGCTAGCATCCAAGGGAGGCAGGTGACTACTAGAAGCAGGAAAAGGTAAGAAAATGGGATTCTTCCCTACAGCCTCCAAAAAGCATACAGCCCTGCTTGACATCTTGATTTTAGCCAAGCAAGACCCATTTCAGACTTCTGACCTCCAGAACTATAAGATAACACATTTCTATTGTTGTGAGACACTGTTTGTGGTCATTCGTTACAATAGTAATAGGAAGCTGATCTATACTGGAAGCAGTAAATAGATGTCTAATACCGTGTTATTTGAGATACACACTGTTGGAAATAGATGCTTGGTGCCATAAAGAAAAATGAGCACTGAGACAAAGGATTTTTCAGCAATGCAATTTTTACTTCCTGGACTGCAGGAAGGGTGCGCTCACTGGCCATCTTGCCACGAGAGTACAGTGAACAAAGGAAAACACACAAATTTATCCCTTCTGCATTTGGGCTTGTCCTTACTGCTGTGTCTGATCTCCATCAACTAGAGCCAGACCTCACAATCTAAACTAAAACCCAGTTGGCTAACAACGTAAAACTTTTCTAAACAGGAGTGATCTCGTCTTGCACAAATACTCTGGTTAAAATACAAGGACATATACTACGTGCCTGTAAGCATGCCATGTCTAACGGGCTACATAAGATAGGGCTTAACAAAGAGCAATTAGCACACTTATTCTTTAACAAGAAAGGAAACTTTAAAAAGAAACTTTTCTACTTCCCACACACACTAAGATTTTAAAAGATTTTTAAGAAAAATTAAGCCAGGTATGGTGGCTCACGCTTGTAATTCCAGCACTTTGTGAGGCCAAGGCAGGAGGATGGCTTGAGCTCAGGAGTTTGAGACCAGCCTGGGCAACATGGCAAAACCCTGTCCCTATTAAAAATGCAAATCAGCCAGGTGTGGTGCTGTGTGCCTGTAGTTCCAGTTCCTCAGGAGGCTGAGGTGGGAAAATCACTGGAGCCCAGGAGGCGGAGTTTGCAATGAGTCATGATCATGCCACTGCACTCTAGCCTGGGCAAGACAGCAAAACCCTGTCTCAAAAAAAAAAAAAAATTAAAACAAAAATTTGAGGGTTATTTCTGTTACTAAGAAAACTTAGTTACCAAAATATACTTCACAAGCCCTCTGATGAACTAAGTTTCTGCTTAACTGTATTTTAAAACAGTAAGTATAGTAACTTTTTAATTTTTTTAAGTATAGTAATTTTTAAAATTACTTCCTTATTATTTAATTATGTTGTGATTTTTGGATCCCAGGTTTCAATGTTCTTGATTTTCTATCCTTCTCCACAAAATTTCCCATAGCAAAGACAATTCAACGTATTTACTAAACCAGTTCATTTTCCTCCTGCACAGATAGAAAGACTACATTTCCCAGTGACTCTTTCAGCTAGATGGGGCCATGTGACTAATTTTGCCCTATGGAATTCAGGTAGAAGTGCTAAATAATTCTTCACACACAGCCTATTAATCTGTCTTTCCCTTCTCAGAGGTCTTAGAGGACAAATGTTGGTGGCTGCAATACGAAACCAGGTGAATGTACTCCAACTTCCTGCCTTCCTGCCCCTGCGCTGTACTGAGATTTGAAAGAGGAGAGATGCATATTTTTTGAGCTGGGCTATTGAAATTTTGGGATTGTTTGTCAAAACAGTTAGTTGTTTTAAAAATTCATTTAACTGCAAGTTACCAGAACATTTTTTAAATGATAAAGAGGTTGATTTGTTTGTAAATAGTTAGAGCTGGTATGGGGAGTTTAAATTTTGTCCTCAAAGAACCAGGTTCCTTCTACTTTCCTGCTTTGCTTTCTTGCTAATGGATGCCATACATCAGATATTTTATACATTCCAAGCCATCAGGAGGAAAAGGAAGAGGCAACAGCAGCTAACTTCCAATTAAGACTCATTAAGACAGAATTGAGTCACATGGTCACACTTAGCTACAGGAGAGTCTGGGAACATATTTCTCCATATTAGAGTAAAGCAAGCAAAGAAGGGGTTGGAATGAAGGCTGACTGACCCATCTACTGTATCTGCTGTTACTTATGCAAACAGACAAGAATTTAAAGAGCTAGCAACAACATTTTTCCAAGTTGTTAAAGTAGTTGTAATAAAATCAGCCTATTTATGAAGCAGAAGCCAGATAAGAAAATTTGCTATACTGTATTTACTATACAATGGATATCTATTAAAATTATTGTGTAACGTGTCTCTAATCTTACACAAATTGATCAACATCTATCTTTCTAGCTATGTAGTTATCTATCTGATTCATGCTTCAATTTATAACTACTAATATTGATATCAATTAGACCTGTTTTTCTCCCTTGAGCATGTTAAAAACATATGGTATGCATAGATGACTGCATGTCCTGATTTTCCTAGGACAATCCCGGTATAATTATTAATAGCATCCCCTTTCATTCTCAAGTGTTTTTATTTAGGTAATACATTACATGGTTTTCCTCCATATAAAGAACAAGGGCAAATGAACTGGTCCAGGTAGAGCTGTTACTTAGGACCTGAAAGGCTGGGTATAGTGGCTCATACCTATAATCCCAGAACTTTGGGAAGCCAAGGTGGGAGAATCACTTGAGACCAGGAGTTCAAGAACAGCCTGGTCAACATAATGACACCCAATCTCTTTAAAAAAAAAATTTAATTACGATTTGAAGTGGTTCAATAGTCTGTTCTCCCAAGATGTGTATATCATCTATTTGCATTTCATCTGGAGCCCACAAGGTTGCCCCTTGTGCGTTACAGAAGATCAGGAGGAATTCTTTCATGTGGGCACTCCTTAGAGCCAGAAAAAAAGTCTCAATTTCTGTAGACTGAGAAATCCCACTTCCTCTCTTTGCTTTCTTTCTTCTTATTCAACTTTAGTACTACTTTCTTTTGTACTTGTTAAGAATAGCTAACCAAGGCCAGGCACAGTGACTCACGCCTGTAATCCAAGCACTTTGGGAGGCCGAGGCAGAAGGATCACTTGAGGTCACCAGCCTGAGCAACATAGCGAAACCTGGCTCTACTAAAAATACAAAAATTAGCCAGGCATGGTAGCACATGCCTGTAATCTCAGCTACTAGCGAGGCTGAGGCAGGAGAATTGCTTGAACCCAGGGGTTGGAGGTTGTAGCCACTGATACAACAGCCGAGACTGCACCTCTGCTTTCCAGCCTGGGCATCAGAGTGAGACTCTGTCTCAAAAAAGAAAGAAGGAAGGAAGGAAGGGAGGGAGGGAGGGAGGGAGGGAGGGAGGGAAGGAAGGAAAAAAGGAAGGAAGGAAGGAGAGAAAGAGAAAGAAAGAAAGAATAGCTAACCAAATTTCCTGCAACTGAGGCATAGTTAGGGGTGGCAGTGGGTGTTAGAGGGCAGTGAATGGCCTTCTAACAATATAGGCATTAAACAGAGAGGCAGTCTTAGAACTCCCACAAATGTGGAAGGCATGGTTAATCCACTGTATACGTGAATCATATACGTTGTTTAACAATACCATAACAAATGTTTTCATCGTTGGGAATTTGCCCAATTATTTCCTTATTTTTGTATTTGTTGATAGAGACAGGGTTTCACCATGTTGTCCAGGCTGGTCTCAAATTTCTGACCTCAAGTGATCTGCCCACCTCAGCCTCCCAAAGTGCTGGGATTACAGGCATGAGCCACCACACCCAGCCTGTCTATTTTCTTAAATTAAACGAAGACACATATTAATTTTGTATGCATAATGCCAATTTGTTGTCTCTCTTATAGAATATGGAACCACACGTTTTCTCATATCTTCTACAACAATCAATGTTATCTTTGATCATCTGATCTGTGACAAATGATAGCTCATTTTATTTGTATAGTTTTTTTTTGATTACTAGTGCATTTTAAACATTCTAAATATATTTAATGGTCATTTATTTTTATTATTCTGTATTTGGTTAGTCATACTTTTTGCCCATTTTATATTGAATGCTATTTTTCTTCTTGACTTTTTAAAGAGTTTTCTATACCAGTGTAGCTACTATGATCTGCTCCGCAGACTTAAGGAACGAATGTGGTCAGTTACAGCTGTTAACTTTCTCAATTATAGTTTAAGTTTCCCACATGTCCTATCAGAAGTCACTGTGGTTTGCCCTCTGAATTTCCAAGAATCCTAGTTGTAGGGGGTGGGGCTGGGGCTTACTCAGCCCAAAGGGCAGCAGGATCCTCTTCTAAATGCGGAGAGAACTAAAACTGGTGTTTCCTCAGTCCTCCTTTGCCACTGGGCCTTGAAGATAAGATCAAGTCTCCTTAACTTCAGATCTGGGTGAGCAGAAACTGGATTCTTGGTCCCCCTTATCCTATAAGATTGAGCCTCCTAAGGCAACTGATCCACAGCCTCTCTAGTGACTAACAAGACCAAAGGATGCGGCAGTTTTTTTTTTTCTTTTTTGAGACAGAGTTTCACTCTTGTTGCCCAGTCTGGAGTGCAATGGCGCAATCTTGGCTCACCACAGCCTCCACCTTCTGGGTTCAAGGGATTCTCCTGCCACAGCCTCCCAAGTAGCTGAGATTACAGGCATGTGCCACCATACCCAGCTAATTTTGTATTTGTAGTAGAGACGGGATTTCTCCATGTTGGTCAGGTTGGTCCTGAACTCCCGACCTCAGATGATCCACTGCCTTGGCCTCCCAAAGTGCTGGCATTGCAGGTGTGAGCCACTGCACCTGGCCCTATAAAAAAAACTTTAAATAAAGAAAAATATATACTGTTATATTAGAGATATAACCGTTGATCATGTATGTTGTCATTTTTTCCCCATCTGTTGACACTTTTTAGCATTGCTCTTGTTGTTGTTGTTGTTAGTTTTTAAGAGAGGATTGTTATACCAGGTTTTGGTTTTGAGCACAAAGTCTCACTCCATCACTACAGCTGGAGTACAGGCACGATCTCAGCTCATTGCAACCTCTGCCTCCCAGGGTCAAGCAGTTCTCTGCCTCAACCTCTCAAGTAGCTGGGATTACAAACGCACACCACCACACCATCTAATTTTTGTATTTTTAGTGGAGATGGGGTTTCACCAATTTGGGCAGTTGGTCTTCAACTCCTAACCTCAAGTGATCTGCCTGCCTTGGCCTCCCAAAGTGCTGGGATTGCAGGAGTGAGCCACCACACCCAGCCCAGTTTTACCTTTTTAGAAAGTCAAATCTAGAATCTCAGGTTTTGTTTCTTAGTTCTTCATGAAGTTTAAAGACATTTTCCATTCCAAATTAAAAAGATATATATTTACCCAAACTTTCTTTTGTTCTTTCTTTCTTTTTTTTTTTTTTTTTTTTTTTTAAACGGTCTCCCTCTGTCACCCAGGTTGGAATGCAGTGGTGCGATCTTGGCTCACTACAACCTTCACCTCCTGGACTTAAGCCATCCTCTCACTTTAGCCTCTGAAGTAGCTGGGACTACAGGTGTTTGCCATCATGCCCAGCTAAAGTTTTTGTATTTTAAGTAGAGGCGGGGTTTTGCCATGTTGCCCAGGCTGATCTTGAGCTCTGGACTCAAACGATTCGCCCATCCCAGCCTCCAAAAGTGCTTGAATTACAGCTGTGAACCACCTCACCCAGCTTCTTTTGGTATTTTAATGTTTCTGTTCTTTCACTGTTAAATTTTTCAACTATTCAAAGTTTATTTGGCAAAGGAACAAGGTAATGATCTGCATTTTTTCTTGCTGTATGTGACTAGCCCATTTATTTAATAATTTAACTCTTTCCATGATTAGAACTGTCCCTTTATCAAATACAGGCTGTTCCCACAGCAGTTATTTCGAAGCTTTACAACTCTTCAGCCACCGTCAGCCACTTTTCCAACATTCTCAGTGGACAATTCTTTACAATTAATTGTCTATCAAGAAGTCCTTTATCTTTTGCCATTTCTCCATTCTATGAAAATGGACCATCTCCTACTTCTAGACCAGAGTTTGGCAAAGTTTTTCTGTAAAGGACCATATCATAGATTGTTTAGACTTTGTGGGTCAAAGGCAAAATCAAGGATATTGTATAGGTATTTATACAAAAGAGGGAAATCAAATTTCTACCAAATTTTTGTTGACAAATAACTGTGTACAATCTTTTTTGTACAAAAACATCTACTAATGTGAGAAGACTGGGTTTCTTTTTTGGTTTTGTCTTTTTTTTTTTCTGGAATAACATTTTACTTAATTGGGGCTCAAGTTAGTGTTTCCTATCTATTGCAAATATTCATCCATTAAAACAGTTTTTGGCTGGGTGTGGTAGCTCACACCTGTAATCCCAGCACTTCAGGAGGCTGAGGCAGGTGGATCGCTTGAGCTCAGGAGGAGTTTGCGACCAGCCTGGCTAACATGGTGAAAGCTGATCTCTACAAAATATACAGAAGTTAGCCAGGTATGGTAGCCCATGACTGTAATTCTAGCTACTCGGGAGGCTGAGGCAGGAGGATTGCTTGAGCCCAGGCGGCAGAGGTTGCAGTGAGCTGAGATTGTCCCACTTCACTCCAGCCTGGGTGAGAAAGTGAGACCCTGTGTCTAAAAAAACAAAGGCTTCACCAACCAAATGGAGAGCAAAAATAAATAAATAAAAAGCAGGAGTTGCAATTCTCACACTTAATAAAATAGATTTCAAAGCTACAAGGATGCAAGGGTAAAAGGATTAATGTAATAATAAGAGATCTTAACACCCAGATACATAAGACACATAATGAGATTTAGATTCAACGAGACAACAAATTGATAACGATATCCAGGACTTGAACTCAGAGCCAGAACAAATAAACACAATAGAGGTCTCCATTTTAAACACATAAAATATGCATTAACCACTTTAAACACTCAAAATATTGATCGGCCATTATTGAAACCCATTTTAGGAATGAAGTAATATTCCTTTTTCCCTCTTTTTCTTTTTTTCCCCTTCTTTTTCTCTTTTTCCCTAAAAAAAAAAAAAAAAAAGGCTATATGTGGTGGCTCACACCTGTAATCCTAGAACTTTAAGAGGCTGAGGTGGGAGGATCACCTGAGGTCAGGAGTTTGAGACCAGCCTGACCAACATGGTGAAATCCCATTTCTACTAAAAGGACAAAAATTAGCTGGGCATGGTGGTGGATACCTGTAGTTGTAGCTACTCAGGAGGCTGAGGCAAGAGAGTCTCTCTTCAACCTGGGAGGCAGAGGTTGCAGTGAGCCAGGCTCATGCCACTGCACTCCAGTCTGGGCAACAGAGCAAGATTCCATCTCAAAAAATAAATGAATTAATAATAAATAAATAAACCAAAACGAACAAACAAAAATATAAACCATTCTTCCCTCCCAGAACCATGCAAAAATACGCAGCAGCCTGAATTTGGCCTGTAGGCTGTGGTGCATTGCCCCTTAACCTTTGACGTCGTCCCTTGGCCCCATTAAATGGGGAAAGGACTCCCTGTTTCATAAATGGTGCTGGAAAAACTGGCTGGCCATGTGCAGAAAGCAGAAACTGGACCCTTTCCTGTCACCTTACACTAAAATTAACTCCAGGTGGATTAAAGACTTAAACATAAGACCTGGCACCATAAAAACCCTAGAAGAAAATCTAGGCAAAACCATTCAGGACATAGGAGTAGGCAAGGACTTCATGACTAAAACACCAAAAGCACTGGCAACAAAAGCCAAAATAGACAAATTGGATCGAATTAATCTCCACAGCTTCTGTACAGCAAAATAAACAATCGTTAGAGTGAATCGTCAACCAACAGAATGGGAAAAAAATTTTGCAATTTACCCATCTGACAAACGGCTGATATTCAGAATTTACAAAGAACTAAAACAGATTTACAAGAAAAAAACAAACAAGCCCATTCAAAAGTGAGCAAAGGATATGAACAGACACTTTTCAAAAAAAGACATATATGAGGCCAATAAATATATGAAAAAATGCTCATCATCACTGGTCATTAGAGAAATGCAAATCAAAACCACATTGAGATACCATCTCACGCCAGTTAGAATGGCGATCATTAAAAAATCTGGAGACAACAGATGCTGGAGAGGATGTGGAGAAAAAGGAACACTTTTACACTGTTGGTGGGAGTGTAAATTAGTTCAACCATTGTGGAAGACAGTGTGGCGATTCCTCAAGGACCTAGAAATAGAAATTCCATTTGACCCAGCAATCCCATTACTGGGTATATATACAAAGGACTATAAATTGTTCTACTATAAGGACACATGCACACGAATGTTCATTGTGGCACTGTTTACAACAGCAAAGACCTGGAACCAACCCAAATGACCATTGATGATAGACTGGACAAGGAAACTGTGGCACATATACATCATGGAATATTATGCAGCCATAAAAAACAATGACTTTGTGTCCTTTGTAGGGACATGGATGAATCTGGAAACCAACATTCTCAGCAAACTGACACAAGAACAGAAAATCAAACACCACATGTTCTCACTCATAGGTGAGTGTCGAATAATGAGAACACATGGACACAGGGAGGGGAGCATCACACACTGGGGTCTGTTGTCGGGGAATAGGGGAGGGACAGCGGGGGGTAGGGAGGTTGGAGAGGGATAACATTGGGATAAATGCCAGATATAGGTGATGCGGGATGAAGGCAGCAAACCAGAATTCCATATAAGTGCCTATGCAACAATCCTGCATGTTTTGCATATGTACCCCAGAACCTAAAGTGTGATAAAATGTATATTCAAAACAATTGTGAAGAACTGCTCCAGCCCTGTCTCTCTTACTGCCGAGGCCAGCTCCGAATCTCAGTTCTTCCCTTCTCTTCAGGGTCATTAGCCCTAACCCTGCTCAGCAGTTCTATTCCAATCCCAAACCCACTTCCTGGACCATTCTTTTCAGTGATTAGTTTGTCTATTTACATAATAAAAAGACAGCATTATATGGCCAAATGAAACATAAAAGTCATCTTAAAAAGACAGGTTGGATGCAGTGGCTCCTGCTTGGAATCCTAACACTTCGGGAGGCCAAGGCAGGAGGATCACTTGAGCCCGGGAGTTTCAGACCAGCCCAGGCAACATAGAGAGACTTCACGTCTACTGAAAAAAAAAAAATTAGACATGGTAGCTCATGCATGTAGTCCCAGCTACTTGGGGGACTGAAACAGGAGAACCCCTTGAGCCTGGAAGGTTGAGGCTACAGTGAGCTGTGATCATGCCATTGCACTCTGGCCTGGGTGACTGAGTAAGACCCTGTCTCAAAGAAAAAAAAAAAAAGTCAGGCAGCCTTTCCTGTTTGATCATAGTATATTTCCAACTAAAAGAAATTATAATACATATCCTCTAGTATATCTACACATCTTTCTGACAAACATAATAGAAAATATCTTAAAAATTAAAAGGAAAACTTGTAATTAAGTTTCAAAATGCAGAGACACATTTTTTTATCCATCAGACTTGCTTTCTTATTTCCATTCTCTTTGCCTATTAATTTATAGCTATTTTTCCTAAGGATACATCGTCTGGAGGATGGCAATTGATAACACAATACTGTTCTAGGTAATTATTATTTGCCAACCTTTAGCAAAGAAAACCCGTGTATCTAAAATATGTAATGTACTACAATGAAGTGTTCATTATATTAACATTGCATTGATTACATGGGAAAGTGCTCCAGGTTGTAATCCAGGTGACCTGTGCTCAAATCCTGACGCTAACACTATCCCAGGATTCAGTTTTCTCAACTGTTTAACAGCTGACTGTTAATTTCCATTTTTTATTTTACATTAAACATTTTTTTGGAAACAATCTCAATCCTGCTGAAGAGTTATAAGTCAGCACAAAAGTGTCCCCCCGCCCCCCGGGTCATTTCAGAACAAATGCAGATACGATGCCTTGTTACTCCTCAACACTCCCATGTATTTCCTACAAACAAGAATATTCTCCTGGTCAGTGTGGTGGTTCATGCCTGTAATCCCAGCACTTTGAGAGGCCAAGGTCGGCAGATCGCTTGAGTTCAGGAGTTCGAGACCAGCCTGGCCAACCAACATGGCGAACCCCTGCCTCTGCTGAAAACATAAAATTAACCAGGCATGGTGGCACATGCCTGTAATCTCAGCTACTCAGGAGGCTGAGACAAGAGAAATGCTTGAACCCAGGAGGTGGAGATTCCAGTGAGCCAAGATGATGACATTGCACTACTCTCTGGGTGACAAGAGTGAAACTCTGTCTCAAAAAAGAATATTCTCTTGTGTAGTCACAGGTCACAGTATGACCATCAAAATCAGGAAATTATCCTCAAGACATTACTGCCCCCTAACTCTCAGACTGTTTAAGTTTTACCAATTGTGCCAGATAGGTCCTTTGAATCAAAACAAATCTGCTGTTTTAAGCATTTTAAAGTATACAGTTCAGTGGCACACAGCACATTCACGTTGCTGTGCAACTGTCACTACCATCCATTTCTGGAACCTTTGCATCTTCCTACACTGAAACTCCGGCCCCATTAAACAATAATTTTCTATCCATTTCTGGAACTTTTGCATCGTCCCACACTGAAACTCCGGCCCCATTAAACAATAATTTTCTATCCATTTCTGGAACTTTTGCATCGTCCCAAACTGAAACTCCGGACCCATTAAACAATAATTTTCTATCCATTTCTGGAGCCTTTGCACCTTCCCACACTGAAACTCCGGACCCATTAAACAATAATTTTCTATCCATTTCTGGAACCTTTGCACCTTCCCACACTGAAACTCCGGACCCATTAAACAATAATTTTCTATCCATTTCTGGAGCCTTTGCACCTTCCCACACTGAAACTCCGGACCCATTAAACAATAATTTTCTATCCATTTCTGGAACCTTTGCATCGTCCCAAACTGAAACTCCGGACCCATTAAACAATAATTTTCTATCCATTTCTGGAAACTTTGCATCTTCCCACACTGAAACTCCGGCCCCATTAAACAATAATTTTCTATTTTTCCTTCTCTGAACTCCTGTCGATCGCCATTGTATTCTGTCCCTCTGAATTTCTACTCTAGGTAGCTAATTTAAATGGACCCATACAGTATTTGATTTTTTCCGCCTAGCTTATTTCACTTACTATAATGTCTCCAACTTCATCCATGCTATAACATGTATCACAATTTCCTGTCTTCTTCAGACTCAATAATATTCCATTGTAGGTATATACCTCATTTCATTTATCCATTCATTCATCAACGGTCATCTGGGATGTTTCTACCTTTTGGCAAGTGTGAATGATGCTGCTATAAACATTGGTATACAAATGTATGTTTGAGTTCCAGCTTTCAATTCTTTTGGGTAGGTACCCAGAAGTGGAATTGCTGGATCATTTGGTAATTCTCAGTTTAATTTTTTGACAGACTTTCATACTGTCTTCCACAACAGCTGCAATGCACAAGGGTTCTAACTTCTCTACATCATTGCCGACACTTGGTATTGCCTATTTTTGTTATTATAGTAGCAGTATTTTGCTAGTATTTTGTTATTAGAATATGTATAAAGTTGTATATTACTGTTTTTTTTTTCTGAGATGGAGTCTTATTCTGTCACCCAGGCTGGAGTGCAGTAGCACAATCTCAGCTCACCACAACCTCCGCCTCCTGGGTTCAAGTGATTCTCCTGCCTCAGCCTCTTGTGTAGCTGGGAATATAGGTGTGCACCACCATGCCCGGCTAGTTTTTGTATTTTTAGTAGAGATGGGCTTTCACCATGTTGGCCAGCCTGGTCTCAAACTCCTGGCCTCGAGTGATCTGCTTGCCTCAGCCTCCCAAAGTGCTGGGATTATAGGCATGAGCCACCGCACCCAGCCAAACTGTGTTTTTTTAATGTTAGGTTTGGTGAAGTGGATAGTCATAGAGAAGTATGATTGGATTAAAAAGCGTGACCTAATAATAATAAACTAGAGAGAATTTACTGAGGGCTGCTTTGCTCAGATTCTTTTCTGTGTCCCTGTTTCAGAGCTAAGGATGTTCCTTTTTCCAGGAATGGGAAGAGCGCCTCTCAAATGAGGTTCTTATGAGCTGCTTCAGGAGAGAAGGGAGATGCAAGAGTGACCTACCTGCTTTTGCTGTTTTCTCCAATGCTGAGGTGCTATATTTTGGGGGTATCATGGCCTGAATTTCATTACTTTCAAATCATTCATTTATTTTTATCAGTTTGGACTCATTCTTTCCTAGTTTATTCACTGGGTTATATAATCCGTTAGTATCGCTATTTATTTTGGTACTCAAATTATTCCAGATTTGGCTAATGGGAATCCATTCAAGCTGACTTCTCTGATCTTTTTTTTTTTTTTTTAAAGACGGAGTTTCACCATGTTGGTCAGGCTGGTCTTGAACTCCCGACCTCAGGTGATCCACCTGCCTTGGCCTCCAAAATGCTTGGATTACAGGTGGCAGCCACGACGCCCAGCCTTTTCTGATCTTTTAACTCATTTCTGTCATTCTATAAGGACTTCCTTACTTTCTGCAACAAGATATACCAGGCTCATCTTGTATTTTCCTTGCTCCAGACTTGGAATCAGTTATTTCACCAAAAGATTCTTTTTAAAGGAGGATGATATTTATAAGCCAAGATCTGGGTACTAGGTCTATTTGTTGCCATTGGGATATTGTTGTCCCTAAGCCTCTCAGTGGACAAGCCTAAGGAATATATGTCTTTATGTACATACAAACATATACATACATACACTCACATCTATATTATTTATTTCTATAACTATCTATCTATATATTGACAGCCATAAGGACACAGAGATACCAAAACTCCACTCCAGCATTACAAGATTCATTCTAATTTTCTCTTTCTACATTTGTACTTAAGGAGAATTTTTTTCTTCTTTTTTGAGTTAGAGTCTTGCTCTTGTTGCCCAGGCTGGAGTGCAATGGCACGATCTCAGCTCACTGCAACCTCTGTCCCCCAGGTTCAAGTGATTCTCCTGTCTCAGCCCCCTGAGTAGCTAGGGTTACAGGCACCCATCACCATACCTGGCTAATTTTTTTGTATTTTTAGTAGAGATGGGTTTTCATCATGTTGGCCAGCTGGTCTTGAGCTCCCAACCTCAGGTGATCCACCTGCCTCAGTCTCCCAAAGTGCTGGGATTATAGGTGTCAGCCACCATGCCTGTCTAGGAGAACCTTTTTAAAAAATTATTAGCTTATTTGATCAATCTGCCTGTAGGTAAACAATCTCTCCTTGTTGCTGCCACATCTGCCCCTTTGTGGATGTCCTTTTCATTGTACTGGGACTCTGATGTGTAATGAAGGGTCACACCCCTGCACTGATGCCCTGCTTAACCTTCTTGGTCTATCCATGCTGGGCTAACCTTCCCCCTAAAAGGCTGTTCCACTGGGCATCTTCCTTAACCTGTTCTGGCTCTAACACCCTGCGCCGGCCTCCCTCCCACAAATATGCCCTCTTGGATGCTGCTACTCAGGACCAGGCTATCCCTCTGTCTGGGCCACATTTCTCACCCCGTACTCTGATGTCCCATGCTGGAGGGCTTCTGCCCCCAACTTATGTTGACCCCATGCCCTCCCTGTGATCTGGCTTTGACTGCCTCTGCTAGGTAATAGCCCCTGCACAAATCCCCTCCTCACCCTGCTTATGCTCCAATATCCCCATGCCCTTCTCCTCACCCCACATTGACTTGGGCACCCTGTCCTAGGCTGACCCTTCTCTCCCCAGGGATGCCCTGCTCAGTCTCTGACTCTCCACTCTGGATCACAGTGACCCTCCACTACAGGCCCTGACACCTACATTTTTGATCCTCTGTTATTGCTTTAGGACCAAATTGTTGGGGAAGGGAAAAGGAACGGGAAAGAAGAAGTGCTCAGTGGCTATTTTAAATATTTATCAGCCGTAGCAGATAATGTTCATTGCCTTCTCAATAATTGTTCCTCCCACAAATTTTGCTTCTTGCAGCCAAAATAATTCTCATGCCAAGCTAGCCCTATTGGTGTCCCCTCTCCCAGCATACTGCCTTGCATCATCGCTGAGGCTGTGCAGCCTCTTCCTGTTCTTCTCCTCCTCATCTGCCAAGCCACAGAATTCTTTGCATCACTACAGTGCTCCTCTGTCTTCTTTGCCTTCATTGGGAGGCAGTGATAATCTTCCTATCACCCAAGGCAAATCGACTCATCTGTGTTCTACACCCTATTTTCTCCCAGATTCCTAGGGGGTATGCTTTGTTCAAAGTTTCCTTTCTTTATTTTCAAACTCTGCATTAGTATTTGCTCTTTTTCCTCAAGCAGAAACATGATCAAATTTCTCCTGTCTTTTAAACAAAATAAACTCTCTTCAGAGGACTTGCATAATGTGTATCAGAAAACATTTAATATGTGCAAACTCTTTTATTCACTTTTAAGAGTCTTTATTGTGA